GAGGTGGCGAACCCTTGACTTGGCAGAGGAGTATGAAGGAGATCACGAAACGCTTGGGTGCTGTCGGTGCTGCTCGCCTTCCAAGATGGGGACCGAGTGATCCCCACTGTGCCTGGTTGGAGACACTACAAAATATGGCTGCCAACCGATGTCAGTGGCGTTCTTGTTGTCAGTTTCTTTCCAGATCGCCTGAGCGAATGTCTAGAGGTGTAGGCACCTAGGAATGATTGTGTTAAGCTAGTACTAAGTTCCTTCCCCACACACCTCGACTCTTTTCTTTACGATAAGGCTTTCAAATAAATCATGGTTGTATGGCAGTGAAGCATCGGTATTGAACACTGATGTCATGCTGTCAATGACGATGATGATGATGATGATGATGATGATGGTGATGATGATGATGATAATAATAATAATAATAATAATAATGACAGGAGCATGGGTATCGCTGAGACGGTGAGGGAACGAGCTGAATGCAAACCGCGCGCGCTAGCCGTGAGAGCAGTGGGTGGACATCGACTGAAAATCGACGGATTGTCAATGCGTTTGATGCGCCTAGACATGTTGCGAGAGTCGAGTAGTTCCAGGATGAGATTAGAAGGGAGACAGAATAGAAGGACGTAATGTACGCTTTAATTGTCTAATACCGGTAGTACATGAGCTGAAAATGTAGAGTGAGAATTACGAGTTAATGTTCTGTGCAAAAGTATGGTTTATGTAGTCATGACACGACGACAGGTGCGTGCATCACGAATCCCTGACCAGAGAGAAGACAATCTTGCGAACAGATTTTCTCAAGAGTGGAGAATCTGTGGTTGAGCTGAAGCAGGGAAAACTGGTGACAAAGTATGGCCCGGTCAAGATTGATGGTTACCCAATCACTGCCGTAAGCGAACTGCAGGTCCGAAACTCCCACCTTGGAATATGCCGGTACTAAAGTCCGTGGTTGAGGAATACCCCGAACAGTTCATAGGCGAGGATGATCTGTTTGACTTGTGGTCGTGCTTTGAACACGAAATTCCACTCTCACCTGAATGCTTTCGACCTTACGGCCCCCGTCCGCTGCCGCTTCATCTACGGGGGGAGGTCCATAAACAAATTCAAAAGCCGTTGAAAATGGCCTAATCGAGGAAGCCAATAGTGCGTACAACTCCCCAGTTATGCTTGCCAAAAAGGCGAATGAACAGTACCGGTTTTGCGTGGATTTCTGGCGCTTGAATGAAATGACCGTAAATCGAGTTGTAGCCGCCCCTTCGGTTGCGGAGATTTCCTATTCCCTCCGACATTCCCGATATTCCAAGATGTTCGACTTCCGTTTCGTATACTGGCAACTACCTATCAAGGCGGAGGACTGGGCGAAAACGGCACGACTGCGAACACCCGATGTCAAAGTAGACGGATGCCGTTTGATTTGTCGGGGGCACCGTTCTCATTCCTGCGCTTGATTCTCCGTCTAACGAAGGGACTACAAAATATTTCAGTGTACGGAGACGATATCATTGTGTACAGCAATTCGGAATCAGAGCACGCAGTTCATTCGTAGGCCGTATTGAAGCATATTCGGGAGGCTGACTTGCGGATAAATGAAGCAAAGACACAGGTCGCTTAGAGTTCGGTGACACTGCTGAGACATAAAGTGGCTCACGGAGAGGTTATCTCACTGACAGAAATGGCAAAAATAAAAAAAATACTGTGCTGTGTCTAATTCAATGCGGTACCTACGGCAGTTTGTTGGGCGAGCAGCATACTAGAGCCTGCAAGCGTCACAATGTCAGTGCTTTTTGCCTGACGAATGAGCCCGGAAAACTCGACAGAAGGTATCCCTCTCAGCATCAGAACCGAATGTGATCCTCACTGTGCCTGGTTGGAGACACTACAGGATATGGCTGCCAACCGATGTCAGTGGCGTTCTTGTTGTCAGTTTCTATCCCGATTGCCTGAGTGAATGTCTGGAGGTGTAGGCACCTCGGAATGATTGTGTTAAGCTAGCACTAAGTCCCTCCCCCATCCACCTTTATTCTTTTCTTTACAATAAGGCTTTCAAATAAGTCATGGCTGTACGGCAGTGAAGCATTGGTGTTGAGCACTGATGTCATGCTGTCGTTGATGATGATGATGATGATGACGGACGTTGAAAGCTCTTGAGTAAAAAGGGTCTCGTGGATATAGAAGTGTCATTTTGTTTAAATAGGCATCGAGGAGCATAAGGCCCTTCGGTTCCATAATTGACAGTCAAGTGACCCAGTGACGTTTGACTGTGTGGTGGGAGGAAGTTGGAGAAGGACATCGGTGGACACCGAACTGCACGGGCAAATGATACTTCCCAGTTACCCAGGCCGAGGAATAGGATTTAGTTGAGGTACCCCACCTTGAGCGTTTGACTCAGAATTCTGACCCACAAGGCAGTGAAAATACGTAGGATTTTCTTCGGGAACCCTGCCCTAGCTTCTGACTCAAAAGTCTGACCCACGAGGCAGTGGACAGTAGAGTATTTTGGGGACCCTGCCCGGAGCCGATGACTCAACAGTCTGACCTGCTCAGCTGCACGAGGTTGGCCTAAACCAAGGGCACAGGGAATAAGGCGTTACTGTCTCATTCCTTATGCGGCTGCGCACAGCAGGTGCCCTTATCATTAGTATCCGCCTTTACACCAGCAGTAGTAATCTTATAGTATTTTAGGGGAACTAAGAAGACCTGACGTATGCACTCTAATGCAAATGTTTCGTAAAATTCGGCTTTGTTTACAGTGCCGGCGGGATCCAAGTTCTTCCAGGGCGTCCGCTCACAGATATCGGGTGCGCAGAAGACATTGCTCTTCTTGGATCTGATGCTGTCGTTGTGCAAACAATACTAAATAACCTAAATAGTTCTGCCTCACGGTTTGGCATGCATTTCACACCTGCAAAGTGTAAAGCACTACTACCAGACTGTGTGGGCTCGAACCCTAACCTCACGTTTGCGAGTGAGCCGATTGATGTAGTAGACAAATTTATTTACCTGGGTAGCTGTATCAGCCCCGGTGGTCTCGTGAAAGATATTTCACTTCGGACTAGGAAAGCCAGAGCGGCTTTTGTGAACCTGCGTCACCTGTGGCGTAGGCGTGACATAAGCGTTTCCGTCAAGAGTCGAGTTTACAATGCTGTGGTGCACTCCAGAGTACTATACGGATCAGAAATCTGGCCGCTCCACGTCGACGTCGAGAACTTCAGTGTTTGACCATCCATTTCTTCAGAGCATTCCCCGAGTCAGGTTTGGCCACATGCTCCATATGCCAGTCAACTGACTTCCTCCAAAGGTTCTTTTCGCACAACCACGTGAAGGGTGGAAACGAGCCAGAAGCTGCCAAACAGTGAGTTGGCAGCGAATTATGAAAGCCATTATCAGCAGACTCACTTTCAATGATCATTGTCGTCTTCCTGGATCGCGACTCCGAAACAGGACCCGCCAACCGTTAAAGACACTGTCACACATTGCCCAGTCACGCCCTGTGGCGCTCGTGCATCGAAGCCATTGCCTTCAATGCATGGCTCCCTTCCCAAACTCACCATTTAAAGGACCGTTGACAAACCTGTATTTGTGCATTAATGAAATTAGTCCCCGCCTCCATTGCGCAGCCACCTAGCTTAACTCATCAAATCATCGGTGAATGAAACCGCAGTAGCCAGAATTACTGTGTGACAAGCACGCGGCTTCTACAGCCGCCACATCCGCCATGCCTGCCATTAAAAAGTGGTGAAACTAGGTTGCAAAAATTGTTGCGGGTTAACACCCGAAGATAAAGATAAAGATAAAGCGTTCAGCTGTAGCACACTTCCGGTGCCTAGCTGCCATGCCACCCGAAGGAAGCACGAGGGCTGGGATACTGCCAGGTTGCCCAAGCCTAGACAGGGGAAGTCGAGTGGCGGAGGTCGGATTCGAACCGCGGACCTTCAGGTTAGTAATCCGCGCTCTAACCACTTCGGCCATCTCGGTTAACACCCGACCGAGCTATTGCGCCAGTTTTCTTTCGAGTGGTGACCGAGCATCATTCGCATTTTCAAGTTTGACGACTGAGTGGCCATAGTTTGTTGCTGGGTTGACCATTCCCGACGATACTTCATAAATTGAGATAGCTCAGTTGTAAAAACGTGAATTTACCTTGACTGCTACTGTCTATGCCTGAACAAACTGGTAGTACCTAAGCCCGAGTGCCTCTTCCGAGTGACGTGGCAGTTAGGCGTAGAAAGTATGCTACGTCTGTGCGGTTGTTCATATTATTTGTTGGTCAATGACTTCAAAAGTACAGCCTCCAGTAAACCGACATTTCAACCTGGCAGATACCAGCTATAAGACTGAAGCCATAATGGCGAGTAATGATCGTTCCGACCCGGTATATGACATCGAAAATGTTATTTATGACGCACAGCAACAGAAGAACGTTGTTCACTCCCACAGAATACAGTGGAGATGGCCAGTGAACTTACCATCCATTGCCTTGAAAACACGCTCCGCATTGTTGTAAACTCCTTTCACTAATTTTCCGTGCGCTTTTAGCTCCTTTTCGTGATTCTGCAGTGCGCTCCTAAAATGTGGTCCATCCACCACACAATCACGGAACTCAAGCGGCTGCAAAGGAGGCATTCCCAAACAAGCTTGAGGTTCCGCAGTCAGCGTTCCGCGCGACTGTGAAGCGTCGGGCACAGAGCGAACACTAGCCGCTGATTGGTTGAAAGGTCTGGACGTCAACAGCCCCTTGGACCGATAGTCCGCGAGTGTCACCGTCTTACCAACAAGATCGCCAATGCTCGATCAAATTGTCGTCAGTAGTAACAGCCAAAAGAATCTTCACCTCCCATTCAACAAAGATAACTTACCGCTTGAAAGGGATCGATCGTCATGCCAATTTACACGGATTCACCGATTGATACACAGGATCGGGGCTTTTTCCCAAGTTTCCCGGGTCTGTTTTGTTCTTGTCGGTCAGTGGATGTCGTTCACCTGGAAGACACAAGTGAAAAAATGGTGTAGCACTGCTCTTTATGTTCTCAGCGCGAGGATTCGCATAAATAAATGTCTCGTAGTGCTCCAAACTGGGTTCTAGAAGGAGCGTGGACAACCGTCGGAGGAAGGTCATACCACGCAGCTACTACCCGAAATGAGCAAACATTTTGTATAGTGAGTGCGTGTGTTCTGAGCTTGAAAATTTTCTTGCTGTGTCCCCACCGTGTGTTTGCTAGTTCAACGGTGAAAAATCTGTTTGCCAAGCTTTGTTCAAACGGCAGAAGTAAGAATTAGGTCTCCTCAGAGGCGACGGTACTCCAGGAGAAAGAGGTCAAGCATCATGAGACGCGTTTCGTAGTCCACGAATGTGAGACCGGCAACCATTCTCGCAGCGGCTCGCTGGACACGCTCAATGAGGGTGACGTTTTTCGTGCGTCCTGAGTAGACAACTTGGTTGGCGTACTCCAGGAGCGGTCTGACGTAGGCCCCATAGAGTATTTGGAAGTCCATGCGAGTAATGCAGGAGAAGGTGCGTCGCATCATCCGTGAAATGGCGAACGCCTTTTGGGGCGATTTTTCACGGTGCAGTGAGAAGGACAAGTTTGAGGAGACACAGATGCCAAAATCCCTTTTGGCATCTATCCCCATGATGTTTTCTTGTCCTTTCCCACCATGGATAACAAAGGCATTCGCTGCATCTCCTCCAAACGACATATGGACGCACTTTTCGTCATTCAGAGGAAGGTGCCAGTCCAACGACCACTGCTTCGCAGCGTCTACATCCAACTGGAGGGCAATGGCATTGAAACTCCACGATTTCAAGTCGTCCGCAAAAAGTAAACATGGACTCGCAAGAATGTCTTGGAGGTCGTTGACGTAGATCAGAAACAGGGGTGGTCCCAAGACGGAGCCTCGAAGAACTCCAATGGGGACCGGCGCTGGGTAAGAGTAGGTCGAGTCCATTCTCACTCGGAATGATCTGGCGGTTTGGGAGAAATCCGTGTTGAGCTGGAGATATCAGGTTTCTGGAAGTAAGGTGATCTAGGATAGCTCGTTCAGAATGCGTTCTATTACCTTGCACGGCACGCCAGTGAGGCTTATAGGCCTGTAGCTGCCAGGCGATAGTCGATCACCAATTTTGTAGATTGGCGTGACAATCGCTTCCTTGTAAGCAGAGGGAAGGCTGCCTTCGTTAAGCGACTGACAAAACACCAGGTATAAATGATTTCCCAGTGTAGACGACGTTTCCCTCGAGATCCTTGGATGGACCTCATCGGGCCCCAACGCACAGGATGGGCTGATCTGGTGCAAGAGTTGACAAATATCCCCCACCGCAAAGCCCAAGTCGGTAAGAGGCTGTTCGTAGTTACCCCTTGGCAAGAGTGAATGTGGCGAGGACGCTGGGGCTGTAAACCCCAGGTACCATTGTTGGGTCACTCGTGGGTTCTCCGTTCCTGTCTCAAGGAGAACGTGGATGGCTTGTTTCTGCGGCGATGTCTCATGTATTTGAAAGGACGTTTTTGTTGTTCCGAGTGAGGTCCAGGATGGTGGCTTGTTGTTGTATTTTCCATTGGCGGATTCCTGATTTACAACGGTTCCGCATTTTGCGAAATGCCAGCTCATCTTCTGTATCCCCTGTAGTCAACTTTTTGAAAAACGTTGGGACCTTTTTTCCAGAAGTCACCGATTCCTCTGTGGTAGTCTGCGGTTCATCCGAGTGCGCGCTGGTTTTTTAGGACGAACATCGCGTTATCCTCGTGAACTTTCTGGACAATGGTCCTATATAGTTCTTCCGCCGGAGCTGGTCCCAGTGTGACTTGTCCAATAAAGAGGCGCATTCCTGAGAAGTCTGCACGGCAGAAGACACGAAGCCACGTTTGAGGTTCGGGAATTGCGGCCCAATAGCAGATGAAATCAAAGGTCAGTACGCAGGGTTCGCTATGTATCCGTGGAGCGTTAATTGTTACCTGATCAACCAAGTGTCTTTCTTGATGACCAAATCCAGGAGGGGTGGTAGTTGGCCTGTGTGGTATCTGGGGGTCCAAGGACATGCTGAGTCCAAGCGCTCTGTTGAACGGCTTCAATCAGCGCCGCTGAGAAAAGTCCGCTTGATTCGACGTGCTGGAGCTCCATCCACGAGGCCTTTGAAGCGTTGAAGTCACCCAACAGCAGAAGATGAGTGAAGTGATATTTGGAGGAGAGTTGCTACGGAAGATCACGCCGAGAAGGGGAAAATCGGACCAGCGCAGCGGGATTTGGTCCCACGATGAATCGTAAAAAGGGTGCAGGAGTGGTATCAGAAATAACCTCAATCATTCCAGCGCTCCCCCCAAGTAATTGGGATCATCCTCGCAGCCCTACATTTGAAGCCTTTTCTCTAGCTATTTAAGGCCTTAACGCACAGGAAACCAAATGGAGAATACTGCTTTCTCCCTTGTCAGACCATGGCAACTTCTCGAGTGTACTGATAGCAAAACGCAAATCTTCTGACCCCCTTCTTCAGCAGAAATGGTTTGCCTTCTCTCAGCCAAATAGTCATTGGCGAGGCTTCAATGATGGACTGGGCCACAGACAAGGCGCATTATGGTCACTTTGAGGATGCAAACCTTTTCTCGGTCCACTGTTGTTGCCTGCCTTGAGGAACATGGTCGTACGCACACCATCCAAAAAAATAAACCGGAGATGACAGCTTCCTGCTATTTATCGGCCGGTCATTTTGCTTTCACTCATTAGGCGCCCCAGATGTAACTAACCAACTGCGCTACACTTCCAAGTCCCACCATCTGATTTGGTAGTTTGTCCAGGTTTGCTCACCTCCATCAAATTTTCTTCGAGAGTAAATACGCGGCCTAAGTTTATATGAAGTCGCTGATCCGCAATAAAATGCAAACTTTGAGTGAAATTAACCACCATCGCTGACAACACTCAAAAGCCTTCATTTGCATACCCCCATTTCACGCGCTAATTACAGCAAACTTGCACGTGGGGTGCACTCACATTTCCACCTGTTTACACTCCTAAATTCGTCCTGTACCATGCGTTTCAATTAAAAGATGGTACAGCTTTATACACATTTTCTACTTCAGAGTTTATAGGATCATGCTAACCTCGTAATACACATCACAAAAATTGTGAAAGATGCGTTTGATCTAATTTGGGTCAAAAGTCTGGGATATCCGTACAGAACGGCAAGCACCGAGCCAAGCAACAAACTTCCCACTCGTGGCTAACTCTACTGAAACTCTGACAATATTTGTGCTAAATGGCTTTTTACATTCCTAATAGATAGCTGGCAGGAATTATATGTTTTTAGTCTAATCATCTCCAACAGTTAAGGTAATATTTTATCAGAGTTTAGCCGCAAAACAATCGATTAGGACCTATCTGTACGAACTTGGGGTTGATTCTTTGTTTGAAATCTACAATGACGCCATTTTGGCAGTCATTTTTGGCCGAAACATTCAAGGGAAACTACTTTATGAATAGCCTCAAAGGTACGGTATGTGTAAACGCCAATACCCCGCCAAGTTTTATATTCCGAAGTATGCTTTAGCACGTGATACCTTGGACTTGGAAAAACATTCTAAATGTGGCATCCATGGTTGTTTGCGGAGCGGTTAAGGACTGAGAGTGTGTACCATAGATACTCAAACGAAAAGCTTTTAAAAACGTGTATCTGTATTTTATCCGAAAACTGAGGAAATTGGGGGGCATATTTTCAAATGTGGCTGGAATGATAGGAGCCGCGGTGGCTGAAGCAGGCTGAAAATGGCGGGGCCGAGTGCTCAAGAAGGGATGATGAGTGGGGTGTTCAAGCATCGAGATGACCCACCTCTCTTGCCAACTTACACATCATCATCCCGGTGTTTAAAAAATTACGCCGTTGACTTAACCATCTTGATGGTACCTAGAAATCGATGACGCTACTGTGTGGAGTGCCTGATGGTGCAAACATAGGTCGCATAAGCAACGCGGGAAAAATCCAAAGTCGATTGCTTCGCCAACATTCCGAAACGATTACGTGGATATTTATGTAAACTGCAGCGTGCTGTTCAAAGACAAATAGATAGCTCTGGGTTTATAGTTTCCCATCCTTTGTAACAAGAGGTTCACCCGATTATTGTTGCGATTTCAAATATAGCCGTTTCATCTTTTATGGAAAAGCTTGGGAAGAAGACAAAATCGGGTGAGATTAATAAAGCTTGGGGTGCTTTTAGAGTCATCTGACATAATATAGTTCTTTAATAGGGAAAAAACGGAACTTCTGCTGCAGTTGGAGTCTCGACTACAAGTGGTCAACCGAGACGAGATAGAGATGGATCTGCACCTAATAGTCTATTCATCAAAGTCAAACTGAGATTGCTGGTATATGGTATTACACTACCCGAGAAAGAGGACTGTCCGACAGAGGTAGGCAGAGAGGCCTCGAACGACAACTTTCCTTTTGTTTGATTTAATATAAATGCATGTGCACGGAGTAGCCCAAAGTTACTGTGCAAGGCTGACGGCCAAGTTCGACTTGCGACGAATTGCCACCTTCGTCTTAGTGGGACTGCACCACCCAAAGACCACCTCATCATCCAGACACAACACGAAAGTTCTTCCCTCTTGTTCTCCGAAGCGATCGCGTACACGTAAAATGTAAATTCCTTAATAGTTCTGTATACCATTA